ATTATTATTATTGTTGCTGTTTTTGTCACTACTACTACTATTACTATTAATTATTATTATTATTATTATTATTATTATTATTTATTTTATTATTATTATTATTATTATTATTATTATTGTTTAAATCATTATTATTACCATTGCCATTATTACTATTACTAATATTACTATGAGTAGTACTACTACCGCTGATAATGAATTGTACAATCATTTCACGGAAATGTTTTTATTATTATTTTTTTTATTTATTTATTAATACTTTCATTGTTTTTGCTAATGTTATAGTTACTCATTCTTTTACATTAAAAAAAACAATAACAAGGATGGAAATGATGATACAATAATAATAAGATTTATAGGATATATGATAATGCTGATAATAAAACTTAGGATGATGATATTAACATGAATGGTAAAAGTAATAAAAGAAATTGTTATTACTATGTTTAAAAGCAATATTCTCTTGTACTTTATATAAATTTTTACCTTTACATTCAGTTATTTAGGTGCACTGCTTTCTTGAAGTAGCAATATCCACAAATTCAAGTTTGTATGGCAGTGATGTTTGTATACATTTTTATTACTGCAATATTTCATGTACTTGAACTTACGGTGCAAACCATTGCCTAATAGGTTATGTTAAAAAGAATAATGTTCTGCATTGTTTTCAGTAGCATCTGTCTCAGCTGCCACAATATACCTTTTGGTAATGCATGATGTACTTTAGAATTATCTTATGATTGATAAACCGTATAAGGTCTGAAGACTAGAGAAAGTAATAATGATATTGAATATGTATATGTTGCTGCTACTGTTCTTTTTCTTTTCTTTTCTTTCATTCTTTTTCTTTTTAACACAGATGTGTTACAGCTATTCATTCAGTCCCTGGGTATAAGGGCAGAAAGTGAATGTTAAGTGTAAAATTCTTACTTTATTCAAAGATGCAGCTTAGAATGTAACTTTTTTCTCTCCTTTCTTTCTTCTCAAATACGTCCAAACTAACTCTCAGTAATAGGTAAATTTTTTTGTAAATATAATGTAATGATTAAATGAGATGTTGTCTTTAATCTTTAAGCCTGTACTGGAGCAACCAGTATTTGATAGGTTTTCAAAATACACTTATTCTAATTGTGATATCTGTCATGCCGGGAAACCGTTTACTCCACTGATCAAATAAGAGTGAGGCACGCACATCTTTTGGGGTTGTATGTCATATGTGGTAACTATATACTCTCATTTTATGTATAGTCTTTTCTCATTTCTCATTCACATTTCTTTTTTTTCAGATATTTTTACTTTGTGAAAACAGATTACATGGAATGCATTGTACTGGATATTTGGTTGTGAATATTGCTTTTGTTTGTTATTACTGTCCTATAAATGCATTGGCTTTCAACTGAAGTTACATAATTATCTGTGACAACAATCTGGAAAGCTGCATTATATTTTCATACAAGTGGTTGATGGATATGTATATCTATATATATATATATATAATTATGTATATATGTAATTATATTCATATAATTATATATATATATAATTGTATTATATAAACATATATAATATATATATATAATTACATATGTAATATTATAATTTATATTATCTTATACATAATTATATACTTATATATATATAATTATATGATATATATAAAATTAAATAATTATATGTAATAATATATAGTTATAGATATAATTATATATAATTATATATTATATATAATAATATATAGTTATAGATATAATTATAATATAATATAATATATATATAATTTATATATATATAATTATATATAGTAATATATATATTATATTATATATATATATATATATGTTATATATTATTATAATTATATATATATTAATATTATAATTATATATTATATGTAATATATATATAATATATATATGTATATATATAATATATTATATATATGTAATATATATAATTATATATATATATATGTAATACATATAATTCTATATATAAATAATTACATATAATTATATATATAATAGAGTAATACATATAATTATATATATAGTAATACATATAATTATATATATAATAATACATATAATTATACATATAAGTAATAACATATAATTATATTATAAGTAATACATATAATTATATATATATAAGTAATACATATAATTATATATATATAAGTAATACATATATATTATATATATAAAGTAACATAATTATATATTATGTAATACATATATAATTATATATATATGTAATACATATATAATTATATATATGTAATACATATATAATTATATATATATGTAATACATATATAATTATATATATATGTAATACATATATAATTATATATATATGTAATACATATATAATTATATATATATGTAATACATATATAATTATAATATATATGTAATACATGTATAATTATATATATATATAAGTACATGTATATTATATATATATGTAATACATATATAATTATATATATGTAATACATAATATAATTATATTATATATATGTAATACATTATAATTATATATGTAATACATATATAATTATTATATATATGTAATACATATATATTATATATATATGTAATACATATATAATTATATAATGTAATACATAATATAATTATAATATATGTAATATATATAATTATATATATGTAATATATATATAATTATATATATGTAATATATATATAATTATATATATGTAATATATATATAAATATATAGTAATATATATATATAATTATATATATGTAATATATATATAATTATATATATGTAATATATATATATAATTATATATATGTAATATAAATATAATTATATATATGTAATATTATATAATTATATATATGTAATATATATATATATTATATATATGTAATATATATATATAATTATATATATGTAATATATATATATAATTATATATATGTAATATATATATATAATTATATATATGTAATATATATTTATAATTATATATATGTAATATATATATATATTATATAATGTATATATATATAATATATATATGTAATAATATATATAATTATATTATGTAATATATATATATTTATATATATGTAATATATATATATTATATATATGTTAATATATATTATAATTATATTATGTAATATATATATATAATTATATATATGTAATATATATATATATTATATATTATATATATATGTAATATATATATATAATTATATATATGTAATATATATATATATAATTATATATATGTAATATATATATATATATTATATATATTGTAATAATATATATATATAATTATATATATGTAATATATATATATAATTATATATATGTAATATATATATATATAATTATATAATGTAATATATATAATATTATATATATGTAATATATATATATATAATTATATATATGTAATATATATATAATTTATATATATAATTATATATATGTAATATATATATTATATATATGTAATATATATATGTAATATATATATATAATTATATAATGTAATATATATATAATTATATTATATGTAATATATATATAATTATATAATGTAATATATGTATATATTATATAATGTAATATATATATATAATTATATAATGTAATATATATTATATATTATATAATGTATAATTATATATATATAATTATAATGTAATAATTATATATATTATCTAATGTAATGTATATATATAATTATAATGTAATGTATTAATATATTATATATGTAATATATATATATATGTAATTATATAATGTAATATATTATATAGTAATTATATAATGTAATATATATATAATATTAATTATATAATATATATATATGTAATTATATAATGTAATATATATACATATAAATTAATATAATGTAATATATATATATAAATTATATAATGTAATATATATATTAATTATATAATGTAATATATATATAATTATAAAATGTAAATATATATATATATATATATATATAATTATAAAGTAATATATATATATATATATTATAAAATGTAATAATATATATATTATAAAATGTAATATATATATAATAATTATAAAATGTAATAATATAATATATATATAATTATAAAATGTAATATATATAATTATATAATGTAATATATATATATAATTATATAATGTAATATATATATATATAATTATATAATGTAATATATATATATAATTATATAATGTAATATATATATATATATAAATTATATAATGTAAATATATATATATATATAATTATATAATGTAATATATATATATAATTATATAATGTAATATATATATAATTATATAAAGTAAATATATATATATTAATTATATAATGTAATATATATATATATATATATATATATATGTAATTATATAATGTAATATATATAATAATTATATAATGTATTATATATATATATATAATTATATAATGTAATATATATATATATAATTATAAAATGTAATATATATATATATATATAATTATATAATGTAATATATATATAATTATATAAATGTAATAATATATATATAATTATATAATAATATATATATAATTATATAATGTAATATATATATATATAATTATATAATGTTAATATATAATATATATAATTATATAATGTAATTTATATATATATATAATAATTATATAATGTATATAATATATATAATTATATAATGTAATATATATATATATATAATTATATAATGTAATATATATATATATATAAATTATATAATGTAATATATATATAATTATATAATGTAATATATATATTATAATATATAATAATTATATAATGTAATATATATATATATAATTATTAATGTAAATATAATATATATAATTATATAATGTAATATATATATATATATTAATATATATATATAAATTATATAATGTATATATATATATAATTATATAATGTAATATATATATATAATTTATATAATGTAATATATATTATATATGTATATAATATATAATGTATATATATATATAATTATATAATGTACTAATATATTATATTTATATAATGTAATATATATATATATATTATAATATTATAACATATATAATATATATAATTATACATATATATAATTAATATAATGTAATATATAATTATATAATGTTTATATACATATAATATATATATAATTTATACATATAATATAATTAATAATGTAATATATATAATTATATAATGTTAAATATATATAATTATATATGTATATATATTATAATTATATATGAATAAGTATATAATTTATATGAATAATGTATAATATTATATATAATAATATATAATTATATATATAATTATATAATTATATATGGAATAATGTATATAATTATATATGAATAATGTATATAATATATATGGAAATAATGTATATAATTATATATGTAATGTATATAATTATATATGGATAAGTATAATTATATATGGAATAATGTATATAATTATATATGGAATAATGTATATAATTATATATGTATGTATATAATTATATATGTAATAATGTATATAATTATATATGTAATAATGTATATAATTATATATGTAATAATGTATATAATTATGCATACAATTATATATAGTTATATATTTAATTATATTTCTGATTATATATTATATATCATCATATATAATTACATGTATATATATAATGCCAACTTTAATTCGTTTTTTTTTTTTTTTTTTTTTTTTTTTTTTTTTTTTTTTTTTTTTTTTTTTCAAGGAAAATCTGTGCTTAAATGAAGTTTGTATAAAATGTTTGTTTCATACTTGTATGTTACAAAAAGCTCCACTTATTCTTTGGTATTTACTACCCCAAAAGAAAAGTTTATTTATGCTTCTTTTTTTTAAATTTTTTTCGCACTATTAAGATATTAGGTGATGAACCTAATATATTTTGTTTCCAGTTGTTACCCCCAACCTCCACCAGCAAGGTACACTGTTGAATGCATCATTATAACAGTGTATATATACTGAACTGTGATACCAAATAACATGGATTTGTATACTAATATACAGGTTTTCCCCATTGTCTTTTTGTTCTGTATAAGTAAGTTTTGTACATAAATACAAAAAAAATCTGTTTTTTTCTAAGAGCCTAATTTTCAACCCCTCTTAACAGCCAAGAAGATACAATGAATCCCCCACAGGTGGACATATTTTCATGAAATAGAAATTGAGAAACTTTTCTTTTATGAAAATAGCAGTGGTAAAGAAAAACTTTTCATTTATGAAAATGGCAATAGTAAAGAAAGAACAAAAGTATTGTGTAGAGTACAGGTTACAGAGAACCTTGACTGGCTGTAAGTGTAAGATATATAATGGTTTGCTTTGTATATTTTTACTTGGCTTCAGGCACCGAGGCACTTACTGGCCTTAAGTACTTAGCAAAAATTCTATGGTAACTTGCTTCTCAATACACACTTAAGTATACCAGCTTAACTAAAATATAAAATATTACACTTAAGAATTAAGAAGACTGTCCTGTGGGATAAGGTGGTATGAGAAGCTGCATTAATGCTTGTCTTTCATATTGGGTATGTTTAGTTATAAAAGCAACCAAAAAACCTTCCTATGTAGGGCCTAAATCTGATTCATATATGTCTGAATCTGTCTTTATGGATACATCCCATACTTTGCCTTTTTATGAAGCATAAACAAAAACTATTCCTCTGCCTGTTTTTACCTTCAGCATATTCAATGGGCTGAGTTGCAATAGAAAGTGCAAAGTGAACCATTTCTATATATTTAACATGACTATCAGTGATGAAAAAAGTGCAATGTAAAATTACAATGAAATGTATCAAAATTTCAAAACCCAATTTCTTTTAACTCTTCAGTGACTGGTACGGCTATAACTGTCATGATGATGTAAAGGCATATGATGTATTTATGCATTATGACTTGCTATGAGTGGGCCATCTGTACACAGCTTAGGCCTAGCCACAAAGTCTAGACTGTTGCATAATATTACATTATAAAATATTCAGACCCAGTCAAGATAGGGCAAGTACATATTTTTCAACCCCGATACAAGCCCACACTAATAAGGGACCATTTGATTTGATTTGATAAAAAATGTTCAGCTCAGTAGTCTTCAGGGCAGTTATTCTAATTTCAACTTCATGTTTTAATGCTTAATGTTTTAAACAAATAAAAATGTTAGACATCATATAGCACTGGTAAAGTATTATGATGCAAGCGGCAAAGTTACTTAAGTGTCAATAGTCATATGGTTAGATAGTATGTTAGTGTAAGGGTAGAAAGGGGTAGTAAATGGAGTAGGATAGTTATTGATAGGAGGGATAAGGATAGAGGGTAATTAGGTCAAATATAATTTACAATCTTTTTACAGCCATTTTCGTGTTATATGTATTTTTTTCAAGAGGATCAAAAAGGCAATTCAAAATTATGCCTTCATGATTGTTGTGAT